TCCATAAAAGTAACAGCCAGAATATTGCATTTACCTCTACTACTTTTTTCTTAAATTGCTGCTTAGCCAATACTCTGCTAAGGTACCTGTCTTACAACACAATGCTTTTCATTTTTCAGAACTGAAATATTACGATCCAAAGGGCAGACATTAAGGTGGCTACCACTGATATTGTTGCCAGGCCATCAGTATTTAAAATGGGGGATTGTTTATAAAATGAGCGTATGGATTTACTGCAGAAGGACACTGCTCTAAACCAATATTTAGTCTAAAACACTTCATTCGGTCACTTCTCATGCCTGCAAGCTTGTTTCCACCAGTTAATAACTCCATTGTAGTGGTCTGTTAGAATTATGGCTAGGACATGTTTATCATAAAGACAGACATTGGGTGAAGCAGGTTGGGAATGAGCTAGAACAGGGGTCAGCAACCTGCGGCTCTGGAGCCGCATGTGGCTCTTTCACCCCTCTACTATGGCTCCCTGTCACTCAAAATGTGTGTCACAACCGCCAATGTGCGACACGTGATTTATTGAGCTTTTCAACCCCCCAATAGGCCAATCATGGATAAATCCAAGAAAAGAAAAGTTTCAAAAGAAAACAGAATGTTTAATTCAACTATGTATGCTAGTTTTATGGCTGCTCAGGAAATAGTCAGGCACGGGAAGGGTTTTGTGGCTCCCGGTGTTTTCTTTTCTGTGGGAAACGGGTCCAAATGGCTCTTTGAGTGTTTAAGGTTGCAGACCCCTGGGCTAGAAGGACAGATTGTACAAAAGGTTATCAGTGGATAATGTGATTGTAGTTTGTAGAAGAAGAGTAGCTTAATTTAGCATTGTTATTATTTCTTTTAAATATTCACTTTTTCTGGCATTAACTTCAAGCATGGTTCCATCTGTCAGACTTCTAGAGGAGAGGCAGGAGAAAATAGGATACAGTATGATTTCCAATTCAACTCAACTCAACTTATCAGTTTGTTCAGTGGTTATGATGCATAAATCAGACCATTCTGAATCCAATAGGGCAGGTTAGTAGTGACTAAAATATTCCACTGATTTAAGTTTCAGTGGCTGTATTCTAAGCGTGGTCAATCTGATTCAGTGGATTAGCCTTATGCTGATTATCAACAGTTGCCAGGTAAAATAAGAATTACAATAGCAACAGCCACAACAAAAATAATATATTAAGCCCGTGTTGTAAAGCATCTTCTGTGTCATTCAACTATTCAATGCTTGGATAGAATGAAGAGAAAGAAAATGCATCAAGAGTTAGTATCATCTATATATGCTATAGGGCACTGCACACCAGAACAACTAGACACAAGGACAGTTTCTCCTCCCGAATGCCATCACTCTGCTAAACAAATAATTTCCACAACACTGTCAAATAATTTACTAAGACTGTATTACTATTCTTCTTCTCTTTCTTACTAGTATCTATCTCTTCCCACTTATGACTATAACCATGTTGTTTCTATCTTTCAAATTATATTGTTTTTATTTGTTTCCCAGTATGATTTGATAGCTTATTAGTAACCTTGACTATCACTAAATGTTGTATCTTTTTATTCTCAATGAATGCATTTTATTCTCCTTATGTACACTGAGAGCTTATGCACCAAAGACAAATTCCTTGTGTGTCCAATCACACTTGGCCAATAAAGAATTCAATTCAATTCAATTCAACTCTACTCTACTCTACTCTACTCTACTCTATCCCTAAATCATTGTTGGTCTAAAATTGAAGTGAGATCAAAATGCTTTCTCCAATTTTGCCCCTCTTATAACCATTGTGTAGATGTCTTCATGTCAGAAGGCAGAATGGACAGGGTGTGTGTGTCTGTTTTGTGGTCCCTGTTATGCAAATATGTTTGCTATGTGTGGGGCAGAGGAGAAGTAGAATTCATGTCAGCATAAGCATTTGTGCCACTCAAGTCATCGCAGAAAGGAGGTCAGGAGAGAGCTTGGGGTTCTGTTTATTGGCAGGCCTGCAACCTCTCCTGTTTATGACCCTCGTGAGACCTAGGCATGGAAACAGGATTTGAAATGTAATGCTAACAATAACACACGAAAGGCAGCTGTGACAGGGTCATTTTCATCCTACACACTGCAGCTGGCTTCCAAGAATGGGAAAGCAGAAAAGAAGAAACTGGGGTGCACAAGGGAGGCCCATGGTGCATTCAATGTCAGGTAGAACCTTAAAGATGTGTGAGTTGTCCAAGGCTCAGTGGAAGAGGTGAGATGAAAGTAAGAAGGCTCCCCTGCCAAGACTCTGTATTTTGGGCACTATGCTATCTGCTGGTGGAGGGTTACATTAAGCTTCTTATTATCAGGGATACACCAACTCAGGCCCCTGAAAAATGCCAGGGATGGAAGCTAGACTGAGAAGTTGAAAATATATTTTCCTGGGGAAGGGAGGCAATTGTTTTCATATGTCAACCAAGAAGCTTGGAAGAACATATCTGGAAAATGACCAGAACTAACTTACTTACTTAATCTTTCTTTCTTTCTTTCTTTCTTTCTTTCTTTCTTTCTTTCTTTCTTTCCTTCCTTCCTTCCTTCCTTCCTTCCTTCTTTCTTTCTTTAGTTATTTGTCGAGCATGTACAAGATAGCAAATATAGGTATAAACATAAACAAAGTAAGTAAGTACAGATATATGGGGACAGTGGGACAGGGACGGTAGGCATACTGGTGCGCTTATGCATGCCCCCTTTACGGACCTCTTAGGAATGGGGTGAGGTCCACGGTAGACAGTTTGAGGTAGAAGTTGTGAGGGTTTGAGCATGTAACAACAGAGTCGGGTAGAGCATTCCAGGCATTGACCACTCTGTTGCTGAAGTCGTATTTTCTGTAATCGAGTTTGGAGCGGTTTTCCTTGAGTTTGTATCAATTGTTTGCCCATGTATTATTGTGGTTGAAGCTGAAGAAGTCATTGAGAGGTATGATGTTGTAGCAGACAATTTTGTGTACTATGCTTAGATCAGACTGCAGGTGGCGCAGTTCCAGATTGTCCGAGCCCAGAATTTCAAGTCTGGTGGCATAAGGGCTTCTATTGTGAGTACTCTTCTCATGAAATACCTCTGGACCTGCTCAATCGTGTTAATGTCCGATATACAGTGTGGATTTCAGGTGGATGAGCTGTATTCAAGAATTGGTCTGGCAAAGGTTTTGTATGCCCTAGTTAGCAATACAATGTTACCAGAGAAGAAGCTTCGCAAGAAGACTTGAACCCAACTACTAGTTTGTAGCAGGCAGCATTTTTACACAGTTAAAAACAAGCATGAAGTCTGCCAAAGAAGATCTCATTGATAAGTATTGTTAAGTGATGACAGTCACAAGGTCAGAACTGCAGTAGTTTCCATCTGAACAGAGATGATTAGCACAGGGCTGGTCTAGCAGTTCTTGTGCCTGCAGTGCTGCCTTTTGCTATTCATGAAGAAGAAATATGGGGCCTCTTTCTTTGGTTTAAGAAACAAACACTCATGCTGAAGGGATGGGAAATGAAGGCTCCCTCCAGTTGAGCAGGGGTGGGCTTAAAAATTTTTAGCAAGGGGTTTTGTGCCCGGTTGCTGGGTGGGCATAGCCATGGTGAGCATGGCCAAGTCAGCCTCCTGCACCATAGTGGGAGGGTGGCGTTTTTGCCCTCCCTGGGCTCCGGAGGTTTTTCTTGAGCCTCCGGGAGGGCGAAAATGGCCTCTTCAGACTCCAGAGGCCCTCTGGAGGCTGGAAATGGTAGGCCCATTTTTCGCCCTCCCTGAGCCTCTGCACACGCCCTGCACTTACCTGCCTCCAAAACAGGCCGCGTGGGGACTCCTGGAAGGGGCAGGATGGGCGGGGCCAGTCAGGAGTGGGATTTGGGGGTTCTGCAAACTGCACAGAATCTTAGCTAGAGGTTCTCTAGAACTCCTGCGAACCCCCAGCAGCCCACCCCTGCAACTTATAGTCATAACTGAGTTGGGCTTTTGTTTTGTTTTTGCAACAATATGGAAGCAGTTTGGCATTGTCTTCTTCTGGAATCTTTCTTCTCCTGGTTTATTCAACACCTCCTAATCTAGTATACAATTTTGGGATGTCGTGGTGCCCTCCCACTGCCAGTGTAACAGATCACTAGGGTAATCCGACTCTTAATTTTGAAGAATCTCCTCCTCTCTATGTGATACGTAATGTTTAAATCAGAAATGTGTGCTTACTTGCAGTTAAGTGGCAAATTGGTCTTTGATTGAGATTACAGGTAGCCCAGCTATTGATGTTAAATCTGGGCAATAAAATTACAGTAGTTGCGGGGAGGAGGGGGACACTAAAAAAAAAACAATTAGAATTCTGGACTGACAGCATTGAAATAATTGTGGTATCCACTTTTTAAAAGGGAAGGGAGCAGTGGTGGGTTGCCCCCGGTTCAGACCGGTTCGTAAGAACTGGTAGTAAAATCGGCAGGAGGCCCCGCCCACTGCCCCGGATGTCATCATCAGTGATCTGCACATGCACAGAAGCAAGGCGTGCACGCAAGCGAAGTGAGCGAGCGGGTGCGATCCCATTGCGAATCGGTAGTAAAGGTAAGTAGAACCCACCCCTGGAAGGAAGGGAGGGAGGGAGGGAGGGAGGGAGGGAAGGAAGGAAGGAAGGAAGGAAGGAAGGAAGGAAGGAAGGAAGGAAGGAAGGAAGGAAAGAAGGAAGGGGGATTGCATTTCCAATATTCATTTATACTTACTTATCTCTTCTCTAGAGAGATACTGTGTTCTACTTGTGTATTATGCATTTGCTTAAAGGTTTACCGCTTCAATCCTGTACATTTCCACTTGGGAATCAATTGTAAGTTTATAAATAAATAAAGTTTCTTGTTTGAAACACATCTGCTGCCTACAGGTGCAATCCAATTTCCTACGTGGGAATACGTTTTGATTAAACTGGAGATGTTTGTTTCTGAGTGTACATCCGTGCATTTGGGCTGTAAATATTGCTTCAATCCCTTTTTCTTGATTGACTAAAAATAGCATCACAAACTCCTACAATGATTAAAGAACTGCACTTTAAACAACAGGAACTGAAGTCAGGTCACATGCTTTCCAGGCTACATTCTTGTATTCACGTCTACAACCTCAGTAGATTTTTCATTCTCTGTGCCATCCTTTAAATATTTTGTGTCATGCACTACATTAGGGTTATGCATTAACTTAATAAGTGCCTATCACAAGAGAAACTTTTGGTCTATTCCCTTGGCCGAAGTGTGTTTCATGAGGTTGGACTCCCTCTTGTGGATCTGAAATACAAGACAGAAATAAAATATTCCAGGAAGGTACCAAGAGTTGGAGAAGGAAAGTGGATTTTCATTCTTTTATATCATGGACAGCCAAAATATGATTACCGTATTTTTCGGGGTATAAAATGCTCCGGATTATAAAATGCACCTACCTTTTTTGGTGAGGAAAACAAGAAAAAGAAATCTGCCTCTGCTTCCCAGCAATTTTGCCTCATTGCAGCAAACAGCAAACAGCCTGCTTTACTTTCATTTTCGCTTTCAGCATAGCTTGATTAGCACAAGAAAAAAAAAAATCTGCTCTCAGCAATTTATCTCCTTGCAGGAAGCAGCAGAGGCCCGTGCAGCAATAGGCACTGGCAATCCCTGCAGCCTGAAACAGCTGAGGGTTGGAAGACTGATCCAACCTATGATCAACTTGTGCTAATTAGGCTGTGCTGAAGCTGAAATGGGCTCTTTCTTCTTGCTGCTTGCTGCAAGGAGTAAATTGCTGGGAGGCAGAGGCCAAAGGGTGGGAGCCAGTCGGTGGGCGCGGCTACATTCGGTGTATAAGATGCACCTAAATTTTCACCCCCTTTTAGGGGAGGAAAAGGTGCATCTTATACTCTGAAAAATATGGTAGATATTGTAGTACACAACTCTCATCATTGCTCACCATTGGTCTTCTCTTTACAGTTGCTTGGAGTTCAGCAATACTGCCCAATCCTATTTTAAAGAAGTAGAAATATTCACTTAAATGGGTTTAATCAGTAGGACGCATAATGATTGTTGATATTAAAATTCTGATTCTTCTGCCAGTTTGGTTCAAGAAGAAACAATAGCAGAAGATCACTGACATTTGAATAGGTAGGACCGAGACAAAGGAAAATGTGATTTAATTTATTTTACATCTAAATGCAATTTCATGTTAATTAGGTTAATATGAGTTTAATAATATGAAATCTGATATAGTCATTTCTCCCTCTTTTCATTTTCATAACTCAGCTTGATACCAGCACCTAACTGGCCTCAGAAAGTAACTGGGATTGGCCCTAGTTAGAACTTCGACTAGAAATCAGAAAGAGAAAATAAAAAATGGCACAGATATAATTTTGTCTAAACTGAGAAGTTGGGGGGGGAAAAGGGTTCCAGGGGGAAAAAAAGGCAAACCATTTCGAACATGCAGTCACTAGGAGTCAAACTTAGCTAGAGGGAGATGTTGTCCTTTAAAAAAAAAGAAAATAATTTGGGAGACAAGCCATGCATGAAGGACTCAGGTGGAGTACCTGAGAGTTACCAAAAAACTGGTACAAGTATCTATCAAAGTACATCAGTCAGGCTACACTTGGAGTACTACGTTTTCTCCTGGTCACCATGGTACAAAAAAGATGCTGAAATCCTATAACCATGATGGTGAACCAATGGCACATGTGCCACACATGGCATGCAGAGGCCTCTCTCTGGGCATGCCAGCCGTTGCCCAGCCCAGCTTCCCTGTGCATGCGTGCGCGCCTCCCGCTGACCAGCTGGTCTTTGGATCTCTGCCCCGCATGTGCAAGGCCTTCCCCAATCTCTGCAGCTTCTCCCCCAGCGTGTGCTAGGTTTCTCTTGCATGTTTGCCACCCGTGCTTTCCCCGATCTCCACAGGTTCCACCAGGGGTGAAATCCAGCAGGTTCTGACAGGTTCTGGAGAACCGGTAGCGGAAATTTTGAGCAGTTCGGAAAACCGGTAGTGGAGATTTTGAGTAGTTTGGAGAACTGGCAAATACCACCTCTGGCTGGCCCCAGAGTGGGGTGGGAATGGAGATTTTGCAATATTCTTCCCCCAGGAGTGGAGAGGGAATGGGGATTTTGCAGTATCCTTCCCTTGCCACACCCACCAAGCCACACCATGCCCACCAAGCCACGCCCACAGAACCAGTAGTAAAAAAAATTGGATTTCACCACTGGGTTCCACCCTCCTCAGGTGCCTCTCCATTGCAGAAATGCAGGAAAAAGCTAGGGCACGATGGGGGGAGAAATTGAGGAGATTGGGGAAGGCACGGGAGGCAGAAATGCAGGAGAAAGGTAGTGCGCACTGGGGGGAGAAACTTAGGTTTTTAGGTTAGAATAGAATAGAATAGAATAGAATAGAATAGAATAGAATAGAATAGAATAGGGTAGGGTAGGGTAGGGTAGGGTAGGGTAGGGTAGGGTAGGGTAGGGTAGGGTAGGGTAGGGTAAGGTAAGGTAAGGTAGGGTGGACTGGACTGGACTGGACTGGACTGGACTGGACTGGACTAGACTAGACTAGACTAGACTAGACTAGACTAGACTAGACTAGACTAGAATAGAATAGACTAGACTAGACTAGACTAGACTAGACTAGACTAGACTAGAATAGAATAGAATAGAATAGAATAGAATAGAATAGAATTCTTTATTGGCCAAGTGTGATTGGACACAAGAAGGAATTTGTCTTTGGTGCATAAGCTCTCAGTATACATAAAAAGAAAAGATACATTCGTCAAGAATCATAAGGTACAACACTTAATGATAGTTATAGGGTACAAATAAGCCATCAAATTATACTGGGAAACAATCAATATCAATATAAATCATAAGGATATAAGCAACAAAGTTACAGTCATGCAGTCATAAGTGGGGGGAGATGGGTGATAGGAACGATGAGAAGACTAATAGTAATACTAATGCAGACTTAGTGAATAGTTCGACAGTGTTGGGAATAGAAGAATAAAAACTTTATTACGGTCATCGACCAGCAATAGACATACAAGAAATTAAAAATAATACTGACATTTTTTGACAGCGTTGAGGGAATTAGTTGCTAAGCAGAGTGATGGCATTTGGGAAAAAAAATGTTCTTGTGTCTATTTGTTTTGGTGCGCAGTGCTCTACAGCGGCGTTTTGAGGGTAGGAGTTGAAACAGTTGATGTCCAGGATGCGCGATCTCTTGAAGAGGACAAAGTGCAAAGGATGGAGTATGATTTTGACTTGCTTTTCCAGAAGAATGGCTGTAATCATAATGCTCTGTGGGATTCAGAAATGGAAAGACTGAATGGCCATAGGGGCTCTCAGCATGGGAAATGATTGAAAATGCAGAAAGAGACTCAATTCAAATACTGTACATACTTATATATGTGAGAAATATTTGCTCACACCCTCATTCTGTATGTGTGTGTGTGTGTGTTTGTATTTGTGTACATACATAGAAACACAGAGAACTCATGGAGCAAATGTTTAAAATAATTGTACTTTCCTGTTCCTCTCTTTTCAAAAGAATATCTCTTGATCTCATGGCACTTGACATCTCAGTTAGCAGATGTTTCTCACTAAACAATTTCGAGGAACGGGACTGAGTTCCAGGAATTGTGATGAGTGGTGAAATCTGACATGCACATTAACTCCAGATTGCCAGATGCATCTTCCAGAAGTCAGGGAGTACTCCAAAGGATTCAATAGAAGAGGCTGGAACGAGGCGCTGCCCCCAATCTTCGTAGTAGGAAACGGAATCGTAACAAACCTTCCATTGTTGAGGAGTGCCTCTTAAACCAAAGAGGAACAAGAAATATAATTGGATGGTGGTTCCATATTCTTGTTCCTGTAATCTTCTGTCATTCAGAAGGACAGATTCCACTAAAGAGGAAGGCTGCAGTTGCTGGTGGTTATCGTAGGCAATGACACAGGATATGGTGGACTGTGAGGACCACTTTGGTTTCACTTTAAAGAACATGCTGAATGTCCATTCCATTCCATTCCAATTTATTTATTTAGTTTAGAAAATTTATATTGCCGCCTACTCGCCATGGCAAATCAAAGCAGTTTTGTTGTTGTTGTTAGTTGTAAAGTCATGTTCGACCCATCACAACCCCATGGACAACATTCCTCCAGGCCTTCCTGTCTTCTACCATCCTCTGGAGTCCATTTAAGATCATGCCTACTGCTTCAGGGACTCCATCCAGCCACCTTCTCTGCCATCCCCTTCTTCTTTTGCGCTCCATCTTCCCCAGCATTAGGCTCTTCTCCAGTGAGTCCTTCCTTCTCATTAGGTGGCCAAAGTATTTGAGTTTCATCTTCAGGATCTGGCCTTCTAAAGAGCAGTCAGGGTTGATTTCCTCTAGAACTGACCGGTTTGATCGCCTTGCAGTCCAAGGGACTAGCAGGAGTCTTCTCCAGCACCATAGTTCAAAGACCTCCATTCTTTAGCGCTCAGCCTTCCTTATGGTCCAACTTTCACAGCCATCCATTGCAACTGGGAAAACCATAGCCTTAACTATATACACACTTTTGTTGGCAGGGTGATGTCTCTGCTTTTTAGTAAGCTGTCTAGATTTTCCATAGCTTCCCTCCCCAGGCAAGGCGGCTTACACACATATAAAACATCATATAAAAAAATAAAAAAATAATAGAAAAATAAAAAAATAATCAATTAATAATATAATACCCTCCCATCCAACCTCACCCCAGTGACAACACATATTTATACAAGCCATTTAATGGGCTCCATCCCATTCTGGGTTCCCCAGGCCCGCTCGCAGAACCAGGTCTTCAGGGTCTTCTGGAAGAGTGTTAGAATGGGGGCAATCTAATTTCTGGGAGGGATGATGTTCCAGAGAGAGGGAGCCACCACGGAGAAGGCCCTTCTTCTGGATCCCACCAGGTGTATCTCCCTAGGGGATGGGACTCACCACATTCCTTGCCTCCCCGCTCTAGTGGGTTGGGTAGATGTGACCGGGAAGAGATGGTCCCTCAGGTAACCTGGACCAGTGGTGGTTTATTTATTTATTTGTTTATTGGTTCGATTTATATACCGCCCTTCTCCGGAGACTCAGGGTGGCTTACAATACGTTAAACAATAGCCTTCATACTTTTGTATATATCTGCTTAGTAGGGCTTTCACACCCCCTCAAGCGATGTTCTTTTTTATACAAAGTCAGCTTATTGCCCCCACAATCTGGGTCCTCATTTTACCTACCTCGGAAGGATGGAAGGCTGAGTCAACCTTGAGCCTGGTGAGATTCAAACTTGCAGTAATTGCAGGCAGCTGGCAGCTAAGTGCTATTTAACAGTTTGCCCCTGGTTCAGACCGGTTTGCAAGAACCAGTAGTAAAACTGGCGGGAGGCTTCGTCCACTGACCCGGACATCATCAGGAAGCTTCTGCGCATGTGCGCGGCGCCGTTGCAAACCAATAGTAAAGGTAAGTAGAACCCATCCCTGAGCTGGACCCAAGCCATGAAGGGCTTTAAAGGTGACAACCAGCACATTGAATTGCACTCGGAAGCAAATTGGCAACCAATGCAGTTCCCGCAGGAGAGGTGAAACATGTGCACACTGAGGTCTACACAAAACCAAGCGGCCGCTGCATTTTGCACCAACTGAAGCTTCCAGATGCTCTTCAGGGTGAGCCCCATGTAAAGTGTGTTGCAACAGTCAAGACAGGAGGTGACTAGGGCATGAATGACTGATTATGTTGCATCCTTACTGAGCGATAACACTTCATGGCTTCCATTAACAATGACTCAACGGTATGTCTCTGGCCATAGGAACAAGGAAGCAGTTTCAGCTGTGTTAAGGTTATCTCAGCATTTGATTTGTTTGTATAGTATTATCTGGCTGGGGTTTTGTTTTGTTTTTGCTTACTGGGACTAAGATTTGGTATTCTGGTTTTCATCCCTGGCCTATTGAATGAAATACAAATGTTCTGTAGGAAATGGTCATCTGATAAAGCAGTGCACACTTCAGAAATGAAGCATTTATACTCAGAGCCTAGGAAAAAAAGGACCAGCTGCTTTAATGAACCCCAGAGAGGTGCTATGTTCACATCCGTGTGAAAAAAACCCTTCTGCCAAATCGTTTGTGAATCATACACAGTCATTAGATTTGAGCTGCTTTCGATTATAGATCTGAACAGTCCAATTTGAATTTGAGGGTTTGCTTTTTTTTTTTATGTTGCTGTTGCATCACAGCTGGAAGTTTGAATCAGACAAATGTCTTATATATCCTATGAAAGTGTCTTAGTTCACATTATATTAGACATCAGGTTGAGAAAAGTTTTTCAGCATTAATTCTCTCTCTAGTTCGAGAGATCGTGGATTGAACTCTGGGCCAGATTATAAAGAAGAACCTCTGATTATGAGTTATGGCCCCTCTGAAAATTAATATTTATCCATAGTAGATGACAGCATATAGCCTAGGTGTGTCTTATCTGCTGCAATAATTGCAACAACCACTAGCCAGCAGCAAAGAGTTGGGACTTACTATATCTCTTTGCTTCCATCAAGTGGTCATGAAGATTATTGCTGTCCACATATGGTAGTATGAATTCCACTGATTTTGGGTGAACTATTTTTTTTTTTAATTGAAGAATTGGACCTAGTTTGCACTGGAAGTCCTGCGGTTGTAGGGTAGCCTGGGATGCTGTGACATTATTTCACAAGAAGGCAACGGTGAACTTCTTCCATATTATCCCCAATGAGACAACATGGATTTGTCCAACTCGTTCAACTAGAAAGAGGCTTAATCTTTTTTTTACTTCTTCCTCCTTCTCACCTTGATTTGTCTTCTGCCCATTGCTAGGAAGGATGTTGTTTTTGGTAGGGTTGGAAGTGAAGCTTGTTTTCATGGAGACTTCATAATCAAAAACCCTCTTCAGTAAAACCTCAGAAGGTAGAAACAAAGCAATTCAATACTTGGAGAGGTGGATGACTTTTTGAGTACATTAATCCAGACATAATAGAATAGAATTTTTTATTGGCCAAGTGTGATTGGACACACAAGGAATTTGTCTTGGTGCATATGCTCTCAGTGTACATAAAAGAAAAGATACATTTATCAAGAATCATAAGGTACAACACTTAATGATAGTCATAGGGTACAAATAAGCAATCAAATCATATTAGGAAACAGTCAATATAAATTGTAAGGATACCAGCAACAAAGTTACAGTCATACAGACATAAGGGGGAGGAGATGAGTGATGGGAACGATGAGAAGATTAATAGTAGTGCAGCCTTAGTGAATAGTTTGACAGTGTTGAGGGAATTATTCATTTAGCAGAGTGATGGTGTTTGGGGAAAAACTGTTCTTGTGTCTAGTTCAATGATGGGTTGCCCCCAGTTTGGACTGGTTCACAAGAACCGGTAGTAAAACTGGCCGGAGGCCCCACCCACCACCCTGGATGTTATCATCGGTGATCTGCGCATGCACAGAAGCAATCCCATTGCGAACCGGTAGTAAAGGTAAGTAGAACCCATCCCTGGTCTAGTTGTTCTGGTGTGCAGTGCTCTATTGCGTCGTTTTGAGGGTAGGAGTTGAAACAGTTTATGTCCAGGATGCGAGGGACCTGTGAATATTCTTATCTACATAATTAAGATAATGTACATTATCTACATAATCCTATCTACACCCAACTTTGCTTAAGGCATCAATTATATCTCTTAAGAACCATGGTACTTTTCAACCCTCTGGGTCCTGATTATGCCTACTTTTGGAGTGAATATCTCAGCATATCACAAAAAGCCTGAAACATGGGACAATCTTTGCATTCTCCATTCTGATCTAGGCATAGATCATAGAACTTGGAGGCAAAAAATTAAAAATAAACCTGCACATTAAAAAAATTAGAAACTTTCGATTCAGTCAAACTCCCTAGGTTTGGGAGAAGATGAATACTCTGGTTGAGAATTGTTTTTCACTTAGCTCTGTTGAGAGAGGTCTTATCTGCTGAAAAAATCTTTTACGATGGGCCAGATTGTATCTGAGTTATTTGTCATATCAGTATAAACTCCCGTGTTCTCTTGTACAGCAGCTTCATTTCCGCCTTTGTGGGCTCCACCCTGGATCTGCCCAAAAGAGTGCCATGAAAGGATCACTTAGAAGTAAGGGCTAAAGTACTGCTTTCTATCATTATGGTGCTCTTAATGCAGCCTCTTTATGACATTAGAATTTTCTGTTGCGGTTTCATCCTATGATTTCCACTCAGGGGTGGGCTTCAAAAATTTTAGCAAGGGGTTCTCTGCCTGGTTGCTAGGTGGGCGTGGCCATAGTGGGTGTGGTCTAGGGTTCGGAGGGGGGGATGTTTTTGCCCACCCCGGGCTCCGGAGGTTTTCCTTGAGCCTCCAGGAGAGCAAAAATGGCCTCCCCAGGTTCTCAGGGCCCTCTGGAGGCAAGAAACAGGCCTTCCCAAACTCCCAGTAGGCCTGTTTTTCGCCCTCCCTGAACCTCCGTGCACACTCTGCACTTACCTGCATCCAAAATGGGCCACGTGGGGACTCCTCAGAGGGGCGGGGCAGGGTGGGCAGGGCAGGGCCAGCCAGGAGTGGGATTTGGGGGTTCTTTGAACTGCGCAGAATTTTAGCTAGAGGTTCTCCCGAACCCCTGTGAACCCCCAGCAGTCCACCCCTGTTTCCACTGCAGTTCCACATTTTTATATGTGTCCTCTTTTCAAGCTAGATATTCCTTCATTCTATAGTTACATGTTTTAATTTGCTACTTAAACACGGGGTTTTGCGTGTCTTAATTCAATTTTACTTCAACTCAGTTTCTCACTCCATCAAGGACTTTCCATAAGGCTTCCCAAAAAGCGATTGGAGGAATTCACAGAGTACCAGAAGAAGGCTGCAATATGCCAAATGAACATTAGATGGCAGCAAACAGATCCAAGACGTCTTTCTTTAATCCTACTTAATGGTTCATCCCAACTTTTTTTAACTTTTGTACCTTTTTAGATTTTATACTTAGATTTTCACCTCAAAGGCAGAGATTTCCAGTTGTTTTATTATGTAAATTTCACCACGAGCTTTTAGGGCAGAAGGGCAAAGTCTAAAGCAGGGGTGTCAAATTCGATTTCATTGAGGGCCGCACAGGGGTGAAATGCTCCCGGTTCGGACCGGACCGCCCGATCCGGTAGCGATGGCGGCAGGTGGTTCGGAGAACTGGTAGCAAAAATCCCTGCCCCCCCCATGCCCAGCTGAGCCACACGATCATCAGAGGCTTTTTTTAAAAAACTTTTAAAAGCATTTTTTCTACAACTTCTTCCACCAAAAAAATGCTTTTAAAAGTAAAAAAAAAAGCCTCTGATGATCGCGTGGCTCAGCTGGGATCATCAGAGGCTTTTCAAAGCATTTTTTTATGCAACCTCTTCCAGAGGTGGTTGAAAAAATGCTTTGAAAAGCCTCTGCTGATGAGGCAACACAGCTGGGATCGTCAGAGCATTTTCAAAGCATTTTTTTTAACCACCTCTTCCGCTGAAGAGGTTGCAGAAAAAAATGCTTTGAAAAGTCTCTCTGCTAATCAGGCAACTCAGCTGGGATCGTCAGAGAGACTTTTAAAGCATTTTTTTCTGCAACCTCTTCAGCAGAAGAGGTGGTTAAAAAAATGCTTTGAAAAGGCTCTGACGATCCCAGCTGTGTTGCCTGATCGGCAGAGGCTTTTCAAAGCATTTTTTTGCATTTGCAGAAAAAATGCTTTGAAATGTAAAAAAAAAAAAATTGGCCACGCCCACCCAGTCACATTACCCCACCACCACCACCAAACCACGCCCACAGAACCGGTAGTAACAAATTTTACATTTCACCCCTGGGGCTGCATCAGGGTTGTGTTTGACCTCGGGAGGGCCAGCTCAATGCCACTTGTGTCAGGAGTGCCTATGGTGGCCCGAGCGCTCTGCCAGCAAAAACGGACTCGTAAGCTCCAGTTTCAGCCTCCTGCAACCCTCTGCCAGCTAAAGCAGAGCTCGGGAGGGCCTCCTGTGGCCCTCATGAGCTCCATTTTCACTGGCAGAGGCACTGCAGGCGAGTCCTTCACTATTTCCAGGGTGGCCCTATGGGCCAGATCCAGGGGTGGGTTCTAAATTTTTTTACTACTGGTTCTGTGGGCGTGGCTTATTTTGTGGGTGTGGCTTGGAGGTCATGTGACTAGGTGGGCGTGGCTAGCTGGTCAGAGTCATTTCTGGAAGGTCCTCACACTTACGACCAGTCCTCGCACTTACGACCCGTCTCATTTGTTTGCTTTTAACACTGATCAGCTGTAGGGCGGCCCTTTGAAGCCCCGCAGCAAGAGTTTAAACAGTTTTTTCCCCTCTAGTCATCAGCTGGGACTCAGGAGGCAGCAATAGATTGGGGGTGGGACCAAATAAAAGGTAAGAATAACGTGGGAGGGCGGGGGAGGGAGAACCGGTTTGGTGACATCATATCATCACCACTACCGGCTCAGCCAAACCGGACCGGGAGGAACCCACCACTGGCCAGATCTAAGCACCCTGCAGGCTGGATCTGGCCCCCGGGCCTTGAGTTTAACACCCCTGGTCTAAAGCTTTATTAACTTGGTCAATCAATCAAATGCCATTCATTTCATGTCATGGTTTGGATAATGGTTGAGCCACCACTGAATCCTGGCAGTCTGAAGAGTGCAGAGTGACAACCAATCACCCATAGCATGGGAACATTTGACAGAATTTGCTGAAAAGTGAACCGGTATAACATTCTTTTAAGGAAATGTTTTCCTAATTCTCCACCCCCACATCGTTTGAAACCTGGCAAATTAGTTCTTGAAGAGGTCAATTATGAAAAATGATAACCATAATTATAGCTTGGGTTCCAAAATAAGAAGCAAATGTGGAATTTGTGTGATAAAGTTCAGAACAGAGGGGAAAAAATCTACAAATCTTTCCACAGCCTCCTCTGTTAATCACAGCAGTTAATCTTATTTTGGGTTTCCCTTACCAGCCTTGAAATAAAGATGAATTAGGTGTATCAAGATGCTTACCTGATTAGTTAGTTAATCCTCTGATTGTTCCTTTTCCAAGATCAGCTTGGCAGGAATCTCCAATGTTTATGAATAGTGGGCTATGAGGCTAGACCTGAAGGAGAATTATACTTGAAGCATGGGGACACTGATGGCATGTAAAAGAAATATTTAAGTGCATGTATAATTCCCCAAACTCTTTAACACTTTAAAGCTCCTTATTTCCTCTAATTCCAAGGTTTGTATGGTAAGAGTCATTGCTTATATTGCCAGTAAAGCATCAATCTAGCATAGCGACAAGGCTGAGGAGTGGAAGGAGCACTTAATAAAAATGTTTGGATGGTAGAAGACAATGGAAAATCCTAGAATAAGGCAGGGGTATAAATCCAGCAGGTTCTGACAGGTTCTGGAGAACTGGTAGCGGAAATTTTGAGTAGTTCGGAGAACCGGCAAATACCACCTCTGGCTGGCCCCAGAGTGGGGTGGGAATGGAAAATCAGCAATATCCTTCCCCCAGGAGTGGGGAGGGAATGGAGATTTTGCAATATCCTTCCCCCAGGAGTGGGGAGGGAATGGAGATTTTGTAGTATCCTTCCCCTGCCATGCTCACCAAGCCACGCCCACCAAGCCACACCATGCCCACCAAGCCACGCCCACAGAACCGGTAGTAAAAAAAATGGATTTCACCACTGAAATAAGGGTATGAGTCTGGAACAGTTAATGGCCATGAAATGAGTATTAAAAAGAGAGAAATATAATAAGGAAGAGATGAACTATCATTACCTAGAAATAAGATGAAGTTTTCTGACAGGGAGAGCAATCAACCCATGGAACAGAGGTTCCCTTCAGAAGTTGTGGGAGCTTCATCAATGGAAGCTTTCAAGAAGAAACTGGATTGCCATCTGTCAAAAATGGTGTAGGATCTGTAGGGTGGGGGGGTTGGACTAGATGACCTACAAGGTCCCTTCCGAGTCTGTTATTTTCTTATTCTGAAACCAATGAGGTGGACATTGGCCACTTAAATTATACATACATATCTTTGTTTTATCTAGAACTTCTGAATGTGGAAATTAATTAGCAGCTTGGGTTCAAAATCTATTTGACATCTAAGTTTTAAAATCAGTACTTATCAGTACTTATATATAGTAATACGTATGACCTTTGAGGACCGACCAAGAAACATCCATCAATTTCTGAGTGGAAGCACCTGCAATGGTGCTGAAAATATACCTGATCTCACTGTTGGTTGGTATTTACTTCCGGTTTTCTGAAAAACTGCACCATAGCAAACTATAGGTTTATTTAACAACTATGGTGTTCACTTAACAACCGCACCCAAAAGGTTGTAAAATCAGATTGATTTAACACATGATTGACCCATTTTACTACTGTCATAACTTATGACTGTGATGGGCTGGCTCCATTATGGTCATAACACGAGGACTACCTATACCAGGGGTTGGCAACCTTAAACACTCGAAGAGTCACAGAGGTCCTAACCAGAAGCCCCCCATTCCATTCTGGAGCTGACCGGAAGTCCCCCACCATAGAGTTTTCTCCTAGCACAGCATCCTTTTTCATCTACCTGTCCTAACTGAAAGCCCTATCAATTGTGAAGCCGATCGGCGACAGGGAGCCACAGCAGAGGGATGAAAGAATCACATGCGGCTCCAGAGCTGTGGGTTGCTGACCCCCGACCTATACGGATCCCTCTATTCTGATGAACTCTGCTAGGCTTCTATGGAGCAACATCAGTGATCACAGCTAGGTCCAGATGCAGGTGTACCATTGAGTGGTTCTAAGATATTTTCAGAGATATAGCTTTAGATATAGCAGAAAGAAAAGTTTACCTTCCCGTTCCTTAGGAGGCGGTATTATGCAATGACCCCAGTAATCCCTCTGAAAAACTTAGCACCATTATGACAACTTTAGGATCACAATCAGGGCTTTAATATGACTTAACATAAATTCATATTTAATTATTTTCAACATCACTCCATGCTATGACATCAGAACATAAATACATCTTTCTGATGCATGTGTACAACAGGCCTAAAGGTAAAGGTTCCCCTCGCACATATGTGCTAGTCATTCCCGACTCTAGGGGCCGGTGCTCATCTCCGTTTCTAAACCGAAGAGCCAGCGCTGTCCAAAGACATCTCTGTGGTCATGTGGCTGGCGTGACTAAACACCAAAGGCGCACAGAACGCTGTTACCTTCCCACCAAAGGTGGTCCCTACTTTTCTACTTGCATTTTTTACGTGCTTTCAAACTGCTATGTTGGCAGACGCTGGGACAAGTAACGGGAGCTCACCCCATTACAGAGCACTAGGGATTTGAACCGCTGAACTGCCGAACCTTTCGATCGACAAGCTCAGCATCTTAGCCACTGAGCCACCATGTCCCATACAACAGGCCTAAGTCCCATTTAATTTAGGGAAATTTACATTTAGGTCAGAGGTCAGCAACCTATGGCTCTGGAGCTGCATGTGGCTCTTTCATCCCTCTGCTGTGGCTCCTTGTCACCAGTTGGCTCCACAGTTGATAGGGCTTTCGGTTAGGACAGGTAGAGGAAAAAGCAGACTGTGCTAGGAGGAGACTCTATGGTGGGGGAACTGGACTTCTTGTTTGCAGAGGAAAAAGCAGACTGTGCTAGGAGGAGACTCTATGGTGGGGGAACTGGACTTCTTGTTTGCAGAGGAAAAAGCAGACTGTGCTAGGAGGAGACTCTATGGTGGGGGAACTGGACTTCTTGTTTGCAGAGGAAAAAGGACGCCGCGCTAGGAGGAGACTCTATGGTGTGGGAACTGGACTTCCGGTTGGCTCCAGAATTGAACGGGTGCCTTCCAGTTAGGACCTTTGTGGCTCTTTGAGTGTTTAAGGTTGCCGACCCCTGATCTAGGTAACTATGAACTAAGATGACACTAACATACTAGATTGACTGAAGTTCTTTCAAAACATAGCACAATAATTGTGGGCTGAATCTACTACATCTAAATTTGATATTTTCTGAGTCTGAGAGAAAGAAAAATCTTACACATATAGTAGATTAATTCTCCTTGTTCCTCAGTATTTCATCCACTTTCAAGCTCTCTCTCCAGGTAAACAATGAACATATTTTTAAATAAACCTCACCCAGATGTTTTTTCCCCAACTTCCCTTTTCCCCTTCCCAACTGCAAATCTGTTTTTGGTTATGAATTTATCGCATTTCTTCCTAATATGTAAGTTAGTTGTTAAGTCCTACACCAGCGATAAATGAATTACTTGGTGCAAGTCACATGGTAGGAAGTCCCTCAACCTCATAAGGCTACAACTCCAAGTCCTCCTAACTCACCTCGGTGAGAAAAGGTAATCCCTTCTACATCTGCTTTGAATAAACATGTTCTCTTAACCTATGTGGGGAAATGAGATCATTAAAAATGTTTCTACACTACTCTTCATTTAAGGGTAGCTCAGAGTAAGCATCCATCATGCTCTGTCCTCCATTTAAATTGGGGGGGGGAATCTAGACTTTATTTTATTTTTGTTTAATTTAAATAAATTAAATTAAGTTATTTAGTTAACACAGCACATTTTATTCCAGCTGATGTGCCTCATTGTTTTTTTAGACGCGACAAAGGGGTACCCTTAGATCAGGGGTCAGCAACTTGCGGCTCTGGAGCCGCATGTGGCTCTTTCACCCCTCTGCTCCAGCTCCCTGTTACTCAAAATATGTATCACAACCACCAATGTGTGACACCCGCCGGCACGTGATTTATTGAGCTTTTCAACCCCCGGTAGGCCAACCATGGATAAATCCAAGAAAAGAAAAGTTTCAGAAGAAAACAGAACATTTAATTCAACTACATAGGCTAGTTTTGTGGCCACTCAAGAAATAGTCAGGCACGGGAAGGGTTTTGTGGCTCCCGGTGTTTTCTTTTCTGTGGGAAATGATTCCAAATGGCTCTTTGAGTGTTTAAGGTTGCAGACCCCTGCCTTAGATGGTATCATGGCAGATGTTCTTAATAAGGATGGGTAGGCCCATGATAGTTTCTTTCTGCTCATAGATAAGAACAGAATAATGGAGTTAGAAGGAACCTTGGAGGTGTTCAAGTTCAAGCAATAGACCCTATACCATTCTGGAGAAATGGCTGTCCAGTGTCTTCTTGAAAACCTCCCATGTTGAAGCACCCACAACTTCTGGAGGCAAGCTATTCCACTGGTTAATTGTTCTAACTGTCAGGAAATTTCTCCTTAGTTCTACGTTGCTTCTCTCCTTGATGAGTTTCCATCCATTATTCCTTATCCTGCCTTCTTTGCTTTGGAGAATAGCTTGATTCCATCTTCTTTGTGGCTATTGGAGCACTGCTATCATGTCACCTGTAGACCTTCTTTTCACTAGATAAGACATACCCAATTCCTGCAACTGTTCTTCATACATTTTACTTCCAGCATCTCTAATCAACTTTGTTGCTTTTTCTTATCATTTCCTTGCTTTGTCTTTCTTGTCATTTATTGCTTTTTTTCAATATTCAATACTATAACTTAGTTTCATCTGTGATTGAAGTGGGCTCTAACTACAGTATAAGATGATAAATAAGCAAGTACCCCAATAAATTAGCCTAAATCCAAAGCTGATGACTGCAAAAGGAGGATTCTCACTACTCAAAACCCAATGAACCAGAAACAGAAACTTCAAAGGAACCACTCCGTTTCCCATCCTGCATACCCTTTGGGTGTGAGTGGAAGCCTGGCTCACAAGGGAGGCAAAAAGTGCTGATAGATTGGTAACGTGTCAAGCAAGGGGGAACATCTGCCACCCAAGTCACCAGGACAAAATGTTGTATTGATGAAACTACTTACAGTAGTGGCCAAAATTGTGGAAACCTTTTGAGAAAAGTGTATTTTTGAGGTTTGATGATTAATAACACCACTTTTTTTTTTTTTTTTTTTTTTGGAGTTTCAAGACAATCCTATTCCACTGCTAGAATGACCTAGGAATAGCCCAGACCTTAACCCAATTGAAAATCTGTAGAGCCGACTGAAGAAACTTGTTAGTCAGAAGCGACCCAGCAATAAAACCCAGTTAATAGAAACAATCATTCAATCTT